CAGGTATTTGTTACCTGCCAATCTGGGCCTCTGCTAGAGTCAAGACACAGGACAGTGAATCTATACCAAGCAAAGCACCTCAGAAATCATCTTTTAGCATTGAATTTACTAGATTACACTTCAGGAATGAAAAAACGTAAACATGAGATGCTATCCTGCAGTACAAGAACCTTGGGCTGATGGAAAACAATCAGTTTGAGAAATGAACCAAAAGCAAGGATTAGTATTAACACAGCCTACCAAGCTGCTACGTGGTGCATCAACATTTTGGTTTGTTCTTTTACTAGCAAAGACTTAGTTTGCCTAGATTAATATTAAAACTTCATATGCTACAGAGTGTAAAAGCACAGATGTAATGAACTCTTTGGATATCAAAGAACAGGTTTGCAATAAAGGTGAACATATGTAGCATTTTTGAACTCCCTGATGGTTTATATGTTAAAACGTAGAAATCTTTTGTGTGTTTATAGTTACTAATGCTATTTCAATGCACACAAAAGAAGCAGTGTGATCAACTGCTTAAGGAAATCTGAGTGCTTTACTTAACATTATTTATTTGATAACATTTCTGTGTCAGTGTGTTTAAACTACAAACAATTCATTCTCAAGCTGTGAGATTTGTTTTTCAGTATTACCAATGCAAGCTCACCTTGCTTAGCATATCCCTTTCCCTCATAAGATCATCCACAGCTTTCTTGTCAATCTCTGCCTGCTTTTTGGCAGCCTCCAACTCTAGAGAAAAAGAGGAAAGAGAATAAATCATGTGTTCAAACTGTACAGCTGTTAAAGATGCAGAAACAACTTAGTGGACTTTTTAAAAAGCCTTAACATTACATGAACAGTTCAATTAGCTGTGATCAGGTTTTGCAACTTCAAGTATCAGCTAATGATGTTAATACTTATTTGGGTACTTAGAAGAACTTAGAAGAACTCAGGCACAGTAATTAATGGTATGAGGACTTATTATATTTGGGTGCTCAAACCAAGATACCATAAAGAAGTTGTATTTTCAGAAATCATGGAGCACACTGAAAATCAGAGCCTTTTAAGAAGCTTCAATGTGAGCATCCAAAAATTGAGGCACTTTCAAAAACAGAGACTTTCAGAATTATTCTAATCCCTCTATGTGAAATCCAGTTCTCCTTTGAAGCAGTAAGATTCTACTGGCTTCAGTGAAGTTAAAACTACTTGCTATGGGTCAAGGTTAACACTGGACACATACTATGAAAAACATATTAAAAACTGGAGATATGTATTTTCACCATATTTTAAAATTAATTAAAAACTGCTACATTAACACTGCAACTCAGGAATTGCAGTACATTGGAGTCCTAAGACATGTCAAATATTGCGAAAAGACATGTTATTAGAAGCCATTCTCAGGCATTCCAGTACAGATTTGAATTTCCTAATTTCCGCTCTCCTTTCTAGTACAGAGCATGACCTTAAGCAGTACTAGCAAAACATTTGTGGGAAAGCTCTTCCACCGTCACAGAGATGCATGAAAAACAGACACTACTTTCCATAAATACAGTTACATGGAAGGATTCATATCTCATATATGCAGTCACTTCAGGGCACAAGGTAGAAACAAGCAAGAGCAGGAAGAGGCATTTATGCTAGTATATAACAACCTGAACTAGATGAAATTTAGAGCAAAGGGTTTTTTTCTGCCCCAAAAAGTGAAGTCTTATTGACTCAAATATTTTGCCAACTTCATAATATTATTTTAGAAAAAAAAAAAAAACATATTTTTTTTCTGAAAATCACTTTGAAAATGTGTTTATTTTTATTTCAAAGCATATTTGACTTTGAAATTTATTTGCATTTTGAATTTAAAAAAAAAAGTGGTCTTAAATGCTCAAAAATATACAAAAAGTTGTTTTTAGAGTTAAACAACATATTTTGTTAGACCCAAAGCATTTTCTTCCAAAATTTCCATTTGGCAAAAAAAGTTGAAAGTTCCTTCTTAAAGTTTTCCAGATCTGCTAGCAAGTCAAAATCAATACTTAGACAGCTCTAGTATTCACACTGACCAACCAAAGTCCTAAACATACCAGAACTAAGTTTATCAGGTCTCTTGCACATATTCATTTTCAGGCTATACTATTCAGCAGAACCAAAGCGGGGAAAAAAGTGTGTTCTAACCATATCTCATTTCAGTAAGTTCTGAGATTACTTCTCTCTCACAGGTCAAGTGCAGGAGCAGTGAAGGTGCATTGGGGACAACTAGCTAAGTGACGCGACACAAATTGGCACACCACAAAGTTCAGTTATGTCTGTTGTATTTTCACCCCACATATGCTACATTATGAAAATTCTGTAAGCCTACAAGGTTTTTAAAATACTGCTGTAGATTCCAACTGTCATTTATACAGTCTCATACTAGACACTAAAGGAGAATGATCCTAACAGGAAAATGTCCCCTGAATGAATAAATTATGAATCGGAAGACAGATTCACCCATCAATCAGGCACCTACCTCTCTCCAGTCCAGATACTTGATTTTTTAGGATGTTTCTCTCATGTTCCGCATCAACTTTTTGTTCCTCTGCAACACGCAGTTTATGCTGGAGAACATCTCTTACTTTGTTCAGCTTTGAAATTTCAAGGCGCATCTCAGTCACTTCTTCATCTCTGGCCTACAGAAGAGCAACAAGGAAAAGCGAGAGAAAGTATCCATAGAAGGAGAATGTCTCTGTACTTGGTATATACTTATTCCATGAAATTCAGGAAGCAAAGGTGTAAGTGCTGTGGGTCACCTGAGAGAAGATAATTAGCTAATTGAAGAGTATTAAAAGTAATTTAAACAAAGCCAGTTAGGACAAGGAAAATGATAATCAAGTCTTATGCTTTAGGGCTGAAGACAATCAATAAAGAATCCCCAGCTCCAAGCTTCACATAGCACTACCCAATTAGTCCTGCAGATTAAACACAGGCAGCTCTAATTTCCTTTGAAGTATTAGGGACAGTGACTGTGATGATATAGGTATCTGTAGTGTGGTCTGATTGCATGTTCCTAATAGCAGGTATCTGTTATCTCCATCTCTTTTATAACCTATGGCTTTAAAGAAAAAGCAAAATGTAGAGTTCATCTCATTTGCTACACAATCAGAAGATAAAATAATCAATCAACACACTGTATAACTGTTTACCAGGAAACACAACCAATAATCAGAGCAGAAATTTCCTTTTAAGAAGTAAATATAACTTCCTCCTATAATACAGTGCCGCTGTTAGTTTTACAGCCATCACAGACTACAGTGTTCCACTTACAGCCTCAGATGCTGATTCTGTGAGACAGTGAATCCTGCTATGTAAGTATCCTCTGGAAGGATGTGAATCTCCTTAATTGTTACTGACAATAACCTTCAAGAGATTTACGAGTACTTTTACAGTTTTGGTTGCCCAACGCCATAGTGGAGGCACACAGCACACTGCAGGATAAAACTGCAAGCATGGTGCCTACAAAAAGGGCATCTCGGTTCATGACTGGTGCTCTTAGCAATTGGCTTAATTACGAACTGGGCAGTATCTTCTATTTTTTTTGTTCCCAGAAGTCTGTGTGCATGATTCTACAAGTTCCATCAACTTTTCTTGAAAATAGGATAAGATTACAGAAACAAAATCCTCCTTTTGACACTCTACAGAGCCCCAAATGTAAGTCATGTTTGAACATATTGTTTGTAAAGTTTTAAACAACAATGGTATTGCTAGAAGTAATGAAAAAACAGATAACCTGGAAAAGACAGTAAGTTGTTTTTCAAATAGGTAAGAAAAATATCCTCCAGTCTGTGTAACAAAATACAACAGAAAACAAGCTCCTACCATACAGTTCATTAAGGATCCAAATCAGAATCATCTGTGTAAAAAGCTCTCTATTGGCAAACAACCTTTTTATTTAGGTGAATTGGTTATACTTGACTAAACCTTGATAAGATAATTATTTTCTACCTGAATTTTCTAATGTTTAGTGTTTTAACCCAAATCACTATACAAAATGGAAGATATGGTAGACAGAGTAATAACATCTAACACTTATACATTACCCTTTATCACAAATGCTCTCAAAGTACCCTAAAAAGCGTATGCAGGAATCATTTAATCCTTCCCCAACTGAAATTCACCTGCTTCTGAGTGGTACAAAACAACTGTTAAACAATGTAAAGTCAGGCAAGAAAACCATTTAGATCAGAAAGTAAACACCATCTTGATTACTTATATTTAAATTCCCCAACTGATACTGTGAGGGGAAAATTTTAGTGTTGGAAGCAACCCCCTTCAGTGGAAGCTATTCAGGACACCATCATTATAATTTATTAACATTTTTCAGTGGGTTTTGGCAACATTCAGATTATGTTAATCACTGCAAGAAAGAAAGTCCTAGCTCTTATCTGAAGATCTCACTATTGAACAAAAGACCTTATGCTTGTTAAAAGTACCACACGTGCTTTATGAACACAATGCGTTGAATATTTTGGTTCCTGTGTTTTATGAAACACAGCTCCTGAAGCAGGATGGGTGCCACACTATCAGGTGACAGGGTTGGAGACTGCACCATGGCACTGCCACAGAAAGAATGGCATCCAGTGACAGCCAGATCTGTTCCTAAAACCCCCTCAGATTTGCTCCAAAGCCACCCATAGGGAGCTATGAGTACAAGAACTGAGGTCACCCCTGTCCCAAGTAAGGTAAGATTGCCATCAGAGTGATATGGCTGACAGGATGCATGCACCTTCTGGTACTTACTTTCAGTTCTGCTGTCTTCTGCTGGATGTCCTGCATCACCTCTTCAAATATCACACTGTGCTGCTTGTTCTCCTGCATGAGCTTATTATTTCTCATCTGAAATTGCTCAAGTTCCTTACCAGCTCTTTCATTCAAGATCTGTTAGATTAAAGAACAATCCTATTAATTCTTTTTAATCTCATTACAATATCTACATATGCATGAAGACAGAACCAGGAGATAAAAGCTGCTACAGATTGTTGCCTGCTTAAAAACCACTCTTCATTGCTGATGAAATTACTAATGTGAAATACGATATATGTTCATATTAACTAGAGGAAACGATAATTTCTAATGAATAACACAGCCAGTGTCAGGGTTTTTTTCTGGGAGCTTAGCAGGCCTCTCTTGCAGGTGGTAGATAAATATTTTACTTCTTGTTAGGCATTTGGCAAGCATCATGTAACACAACTTGCTACATGTAATTACTGAAAATTAGTATGGGATTCAAATTACTTCAATCAGCAGAGGGCAGGGGAGCTCTCTTTCTTAGCAAGCAAATCCTACATTAATATGCTGATAACATTTCTCTGGCTACATGGTTTGCTTGGACCAGGACACAACCATTTTTCTTTCTAATTTGTCTTCAGTCAAAAGCCCAGAACAGCAGTTTCATGGTTTCTATGGAGAACATGAATACTGGATTTCAATACTGGATACAACTTCAATACTGGAGTTGCCAGTCTTTTCTTCCGCTTGATGGGGCTTCCACTAACAGATATTACTCCATAAGTGAGGAAAGAACAACTATCACATTTGTCACTTCAAGCATTAATGTGTGATAAACTGATGAAGTCTATACGTACTATGCCCTTAACAGATATTAAAGGAAGAGAAGTGGAATCTAGCTCTTCTGAACGCATGCAGAAGCAAAGACAATGTAAAACAAGGAATACTGTTTCTTGTGTTGCAAACATCAGGATAACACTGTGTTTCAGGTGATTCTTTATCGAGATTTGGACATAGGTGGGATGAACCCTATAGTAGCTGCATCAAACTATCTTCACTCTCATGCAAGCAAGGATCTTTTATTAGAAATTTTAGTGGAATAAGAGCAGCCATCACAACCAACTACAGTTCAGCTGAGAAACAATAACCCAATGACTGGATTGCAATAGCTGGATCACCTCCTCTTGCAGCTCTCTACCCTGACCCTTGCATAGTTAGATAGCCTGTGTTTTGCACAGACTGTTTGCAAAAGACAATGCAGGGCCTCCACAGACACCTTCAAGCCAGCACAGGCAACAAAGACAGCGCAGTGGTCTGGTTAATTAGCCTAGGCACAGCATTTTATGTGACCTACTGGTTTCCAGGATAGTTTGAACAATTGAATGCCGCTAAAATCTGCACTTAGAAAGCTTGAAAGGGACTGTAGAAAGAAGGAGGAAGAATGGAACAGAACCAGGAATAGTAGATATCCTATTTAAAAACAATGTGATTGTCTTGGAAGATCATGCAGCTGCCCTCAAAAGCTGCATCAAACCAGTGATATTCAGAGAACTAATCTAATCTTCTCTGTATCTCTTTATGTGAAGTATTTTACTAAGACTCTGTGTTGACAAAAAATTGTCACAGACCTCTGCCTTCACAAATTCAGGAACCTGAAGGGAAGAAAAAGCCATAAAAGTCATAAATTTACAAGATACACACAACTCCCAAAGAAGTTTCCCTTGAGGTAGGACTGGTTTACAGTGATGAGATCTCCCTTGCCATTTGCTGAAATTGCTTCTTTGAGAGTTTCTCAAAGTCAGGGGAAACGGGCTGAAAACCTGAAAATTCAAACACTTACAGAACACTATGTTAGGACATTTCCAGATAAAGTTTTTAGAAACAGAATGGGGGAAATCAATCAAAAACGTTTACAAAGACAGTTCTTTCACAGAAATTCTTCCACAAGCTTGAGAGGTAGACAAAAATTATTGTGACAGAGAAGAAAGAAGGGGTCAGAAATAAAATTACTTTACCAATACCACTACAGTCAATCAGTGGCAAAACTGGCAATACACGTCAGAAGTCTAACCTGGAAGTTTCCTGTTACTATCATTAGATCATCCATGCTCTCCACTGACTATGTTTCATTTGCTGTGATCTATTCAAGATGATCTCTAACGGCATCATTGCGATTCACTACTGATTTCTGTGAGGAAATCTATCTGAAATCTGTCAGCAAGCTTTACATATTTATTGATTAGTAAAGTAATATTTATATAAAAAATAAATATTTATTAAAATTTATTCACATAAAATAATCTCCCTCCCTCTCCCTTCAGGAAAATCCATTTTTCTTCTTATTTCGACATCTGACCCTAATACTAGACCTGATGAGCACAGTGTGCCATGTACCCTACCTTCTGCTCTTTTAGCTGCTGCTCCGTTTTCAGTTGTTCCTCTTTGCTCTTCTGTATATGTTGCTGTAAATTCTTGATCTCATCTTGCTTGTTACCTATTTCAGCTAGAAGATTTTTCAGCTCGTTCTCCGTTTTTTCCCTCTTTCGAGCCTCTCGTGACGCCTCATTATGACGCAGCTGGATTTCTTGCTGAAGCTATAATAATAGAGAAGACAAAATTTTTAAGTTCTGCTGCCCTTTATTCAGGAAAACAAGGCCTCTCACCTCTCCTTCTACTATGCTTGATTTTGAAAACAACAGCTTCTATACTGCCGTACCCACTACTACATGGAATATGCCAGATCTTCTCAGAAGTAAATATATTCTCTAGTGGTTGAATAAAAAATCCTGCATGAGGAAACGTATTTATTGATGATGATAATTTGTTAAGCACCAGTCAGTTCACCTACACAGAAGGGTCTGATACAGTTCAGGAGATGCAGTGGCACAAATGGATTTTCAGTTGTAAGTTAGTTGTAAAGTGACACTTTCTGAATGCAGCATTAAAACTAAGTTGGGCTTAATGTTGACTTGCAAGGATTTCTATTTTGATTTTTCTATCTCACCAGCAGGAACACTTATTACACTGATATTAAAGGAAACAGAGAGGTGTCAGACCAGTGTTCATTTTCACAACTGCTCTCAGTCTTTCTGCCCTCAAAGTTCCTCTGTGGGAGCTTTGAAAAGGAGTTTTCTTTCATATTTAATAGACTGTCTTGTGACTTCTGCTCTCTCCCTCCCCAAATATGTGATGGAGCAGGATCAGCAGAGAGGAGACACAGGGGGTTGATCCACATGGAAATATTCAGTTCAGTCAGGGACCAGGAATTGAAAGATGTTCTTTGCTTAAAGATTCCTCTCCCTCTGAGCCCACAGACGAAACTTTGCCAGAACTGACAGGGTCTTCAACAGGATCTTCAAAAAGACATTGTCATTTAAGCAGTCTGAAGTGGAGAATAATTTCATACTTAGAGAATGGGAGGCGGTTACAAACGCTGTAACAATCCCGTAAATTTAAGGGCTGATGAAGTGTGTATCAGAAGATTAAGACTGGCAAGATTCAATAAATTTTGACGGGATTTTCAATCCTCTCTCTTTTCTCCCATGCCCACAATGCTGTCAGAAAAGCAAAGATTTATATTCTTTTGTAATACATTCCCATCTATCTGCTTTAGAAACAGAAACGAGTTCTGTGCATGAAACCTAGGCTGATCATTACTTTCCTATTTGTGATTAATAAAAAACTGTAAGGTAAATGCTGCTTCTATCCCTCCTCTGTTCTTTGTTTAAGTGTTCTTTTCTGCTTTTTCTTTCTCCCTTTTTCTTGCTGCAGCCCCTATTTATACTCTGCTTTGAATTCTTTTATTGCTCATTATTATGTTTTTATACTTTGATGTATCAGAGTTCTGTATCCTATCTTCGATCCTTTTCCACTTTCTCTCTGTTCAGTGGGTATCCTATTGATCCGCAATCTTCTGTATCTCTAGCTGCTATACACATTTAAACGAAGCTATACACGTTGATCAGTAGAGAAGAACTGTCTACTCAGATGGTCAGAAAAACAGAGAACCTGACTTTAAAAAGGGGACAAAAAAATGTAAAGCTGAGATGGAATATGACTGCTCTCTGCTGACACTGGTGAGGTGAAAAATTATTTAAGCTGAAAAACAGTAGGCAGGAATCAGTGTGAAGAAGAAGGTAGGAGGTCTCTAACCATTAGAGAAGTGATGTTCTGGAAAAGCTTCCCATAAGAAGTAGGAGAGAAAATAGCTTAATTAGCTTTAAAGTCAGAATTTGAAAAATTCTTAAAAATGATGGTATGGCATCATATAACAACCACTGCCAACAGCAAGGGACCTAGGATCTCCATTCCAGGTCTATGTTCTAAGTGGTTCTTTGGAGGCGTAAGGATTTACAACGCAGAAAAAAACGTGCATCTCCATTATGATAGACAACTATGATTCAGGCAAGAGTGAAGAATGGTTCAGGACAAAGTCTAAAATCACCACCTGGCCATCTGTACAGACCTGCATAATGGATTGTTCTGCCTGGTCTTTTGCCCTCTCTGCATCCTGCTGCTGCTCTGTGGCTTGAGTTAGACTTTGACGTAACTTCACAACCTCTGACAACAGTTGGTCTCGCTCCGTAGTTACCTCTTCTTTAAGTTTTAGCAAATCCCGGACACTGGAAGGAAGGAAATAATAGTCATGCAATGTCACCAGCCATTTCCTCCTTCTATGCCAGAGCAAGATCTTTTGTGAGAAACGGGAGTTTAAAATTAATTTGTTAAGGCTCTGCTGGTCAAGTTATATGCTCTGTCTACTGTGATCATAGTCACCATCAACACAGGCAACTTCCAAAGCTAACCTAGTCCAATAAATCACTCTTTCTTGCTACGTCACATCCTCATGGATCTGAAGAAAGGTTCAATGTCTCAAAAAGGTAACAGGGAACAAAATTCCTTCTTCTCCACCCATTGCAAAATTACTCAGGGACCAAAAATGTTACACTGTTGTAACCAGTCTCTCTGCAGCTTACTTGACTGGGCACCTAACTAGGTTATGTCTTACAGTCACCTAATGTAAGAATAAAACAGACTCCCTGTTTGGACACATTTACAATCTGAAATAAAGTCCAAGCAGTGTGGGTTCAAGCGCAACCTTGAAAACCAGCCTTATAGTTCTAAAAGACTATATGCAAAGGAGTTGTCTAGTCCCGTGGCCTTGTCACTAGACAGAGTATTTAAGCATGGAACTGGAGGGCAATACCAAAAGATGTTTAAGAAGAAATTGTAAGTCAGCAGGTCCCAGGAGCCTGAGCAGCAGCTGGAAATGGCAGGAGTGAGATCTTGGCAAAATAACAGCTCCTGGCTTTTGCAGGAAAATGCAAAAAGCAGCCAGAGAGAACTGCTTTTAGGGAGAGTTATACTAGGGAAAGGCTTAAGGAACAAGCTTTTAGATCCAAGGAAACCTGTTACACAAGTCCAGAACATTTCAGGCACAAAAGGTGAAGGAGTGGATTTCTCATGCATCCAGGTGGTTTATGTGCTGGCACATTCCTTGGAGGGGAAATGTTTAAGCACACTAAAGGCCTTGCTCACAGACACAAGTCTTGTTTATGCAGCCTGGCTACACAGTGCATGGGGAGATAAGCATGCCCCATACATATCCTGAACGCGTAATATAAATTAATACCTTACACAGTGTGAAAATTTCAAGCCAGAACCAGCTGGGCCAATCATCAGCAACCCTGATAGAAAGTGCACGGGTCATAGGGGCAATATACTTAATCTCACCTTTGAGTTTACACTTAATCTTACAACATAAGCACAATCTGAGGACCTGATACTACAAATACTAGCTTTTGGAGGGCTTTTGAGCAGCTCCTGAAGATCATTATTATTTGCACACTGTAGCAGCTAGAGGCTCCACCTGAGACGAGGTCCCTCTGTGCATAAGTGTTCAGTAAAAAAAGCCCACAGTCTTGAAAATGTATGAATATAAAACACAAACAAGAATACAGACAGTAATAATGCCTTATAACAAAGCTGGGAAGAGAAGAGAAATCAAGTCTTCTGCTTTCTTGACTTATCTACTTGACCCTGCTACCATAACGTGTTAAAATGTTGACAGGATCCTGCTCTCAAAGACAGTATGTGAAAGGCTAGTCAAATAAAACAATATGACAGATTGTGAGAAAGTGCATAATACCGGTTTTTATTTGATCTCTCAGCTTAGTCCAATGCTGAATGAACTCACTCAGAGCCTGATTCTGTACTTGCTCACTGCATAAACACGTAGACCAATAAATGTGCATTCATGAGAAAAGTAAAAGGCAGCAAAGACCTTTGCTGTTTTCCAGTGTCTTTGTAGTATCTAAATGGCTAAACAAGGCACAGAATAATAGAAAATCAGTTCAGTATTTCCCTCTCCCTTGGGAAAACTTACTTGCGCTCCTGTTCCAGAGACAGTCCAGATCCTTGCTCCACTAAATTAGTTAGGCGTGCAATTTCCTCTTGCAGTGATTTAATCTTTTCATTTGCTTTCTGTTTCTTTTGATAGGCTATATCCATCATTTTCCAGGCCTTTTCAAGCTCCTAGGAACAAAATAGAAAACAATTACATAAATTAAATTGGCTTTAAAATTAACAACAAATTTAAAATTAATTGTCTTGCATTTTGGTTAATTAAGAAATTAGGTTTTCATGCCTTTTCATGCTTAGGTTCATAACAGTTTTGTTCACCGGTTGCCTTTTCTTTTGGAGGAGGGCATAGCAAATATTTTGAACCATTCCT